TTGTTGTTTCCTCTTCCCTGTCTTTTTGGGCAAATAATGACATATTATGATTTTTTTATGACGCTTTTTCTTCCTCTTCCCTTATATTCAAAGCCTGTGAGAGCATTAACATATTGATTAAGGGTGGGATATGGTGTCTTACCTAAGCTTCTAGCAAAATTAATTGCTCTTTTTTTCTTTTTCTTTTTTTTTGAATATAAGTTATTTTTAATAGTATTCTCACATCTCCTTGGAAGATGAGTAGCCTATAATTAGTTGTGTGCTTTCTTTGGTCAAGGAGTTTGAAATCCAACTCCTTAGTAACACATTTTTCTTCTTCCAATCATCAATGGTGTCACTAGATTTTGCATCCTTCTTAGCCGCTACAACTTCCCTAGCAATCTGTCTAGTGGAACATATGCTTTTACTTGGTTTATTCTCTAAGATATGAATCAATTGGGATATATGTCTCCTCTTTATGAGGTAGTTTGTTGGCTTAAGTTTAATGGAGCATCCGACAATTATTTTGTGAAGTGGGGAGGTTGACATGATTTTTGGTAGAAGGGGTCGTTGCAACGTGTGATTTTTTTTCATATTTTTTCATTTTTTTAACCAATACTCAATGTTACTAACATACTCCTTATATAGGAGATAATTGTAGAGTCCTAAGTCAACTATACTTAGAGTCCTTTTATAATACATATTACTACTAGAATAATAATAATGCAACTATAAATAATCTAATCCTAGTTGTACTATAATCTTAATCATATAAATAAAATAGGAAGTCTAATCTTAGTGTGACTCTAATTCTTCAGCAGTGTTTTAACTCACCAGTCAGCTTCGTTGGATCTGTTCCTTCGACATGTTCCAATCCTAAGCACTCTTCTTCATCAACACTTATTGTAGACAAGTTAGTCAACTGCGTTGGTCCTGTTCCTTTGATATGTTTCCATCGTTCATTTCCTTATTCTTCAACAAATATTAGTTAAGAACACGAATTTATTAATTAATATATTTTAAAAAAATAATATATCTCTTAATTATTTAATATAATATTATTTATGTAGTTTCTCATTGTCTAGTATAAACTTTACAGAATGTGTGTAATTACATTATGATGACCAAACATGTCCGTGTAATTACTAGACTGTGTAAGTACTAGGCTAGTAATTACTACCCTAATAATTACACCAATTTCAATTACCAAGTGACTTTCTAAACGGGCCCAAATATAGTTTTGAATCTCTTTTAGAGTTGTAAACTTGAATTGGGTAAATTGAAGCCGGATTTGAAGTGGGTTTGCTATTTTAAGTGTTCAATTTCATGTTACCCATGGCTAATTGCATGCAAAGTATAATTTCTTTACACTTTGCAAAGTGGCTTAAACACCAAACTCTTGGAGTGTGATTACGGAATGGATTGTTGATATAATTTAGTGAATTCATTGAATTGCTCTGTTTTATGAAAATTCACTAATTGTCGATTGATTAATTCTTGCATTAAGGTGGCCAACTCAATTTTAGCTTCATTCTTGCATTGGTACTCGGAAAAAAAAACCATAGAAGTGGGTAATAAGTACACTTATAAATTTTTGGGTTAATCAAGATGACATGTTGATGAGACTGAGCGAAGATTCCATGTAAGCAAGCTTTGAAATAGAAAGAAGATTAGCATCAACGATGGTAACCTACTTATTGGCGATTAGTTAGTTATAATGAGCAATTCTACAATACCCAAAATGAAATAAATATTCAATCTCCACACCCTTATAGACAATTAGTTCTTTGAATCATCAACTATAGTGATTTTGTCGATTGGGAGTTAAAATCAGTGTTGTTGAAATTGGTGGTTTCTCCACCTGTTTCCTTTTTGAACTTCATTGAAATTAATTGCTAGTTAATTCTCTAATTGAATTCTTAACAATATACTAGTCTTGGAATTCTTTGTTGGGTTTTAATTGACGACGAGCTTCGTCCCTTTTCATTGACATTTGAGCATTATGAAAACGTCCTACTCATATCAAAGGAGCACAGATTCACTGAGGATGTTTAGAACTCCATAGATAATGGGAGAAAAGAAAAGTAATGTAGATTCAAACCTCATTGGGCTTTTACAAGCGTCTTTTTTAAGGCAAAACATCAAAACTGATTGAAGTGACATTAGGTTAGCAGCCTGGAACAAGTTATATCATGCATAGGAGAAAACCTGATATTTCCTTTCTCCTCCTCTAAGAATCATTTCACTGCAATGTGAAAGAGGAAGATACCAACAATCACAAATGTCACACAACAGCCAAGAAAATTGCTTCCCTTTATGCTGACATCTTATGACAATCAAAACTACAAAGGAATGTCATTGCTACAATCACTATCAATTAACAAGTCTGTATGGCAAATCCTCAACTGTTTTACGTTTTCTTGCAAAACCTCCCTTTCAATTTATCGACCACTGGACTTCATAACTCTCTACATCAAAAGTAACAGAGCTTTACATCAGAAATGTAGAGCACTAGGTTTACATAAAATGCTAACCACACAACAATTTTTTTAAATGATACTTCTTAGTTGTACTTTTCTTTAAAAAATGAAATATGATTCAGATACTCATTTTTATAGAAATAAAAAATTAAAGTAAAATTTGAAAAATATAATAGCGAGGGAAAAAGTGAAAATAAGGTTTGGCGGAAAATATACAGGAATAATAGTGATTACCATTTTTCAAATTTCATGCGTAGATCTAGGTTTGAGGGAGGTTTAGAAGGTCAGCCGAGTAAAAAGTGGAGTATATGGGCAGTATCAACAGAATTTAAATGGTGGAAACAGTGAAATGTCACAGTAGAAATTCTGTGGCAATTAAAGGAAAAGTGTAGGAGTGCCTCAGCGAAAACCTTCCCAGTTATAACCCTGGAAATGTAAGGAATGTTCAATCCAAAAATTCTGAAATGTATCCACAAAAATGCAAGCGAGTATAAACATGGAAAGCATAAGAAGTCAAGTGGCTAAAGGGAGATGATGGGTCGTTTTCAGCAAAACTTGAGTCGCTTTAACCCTTCTAGTGTTGTATATCACTTCAAACTTCTTATCAATCTCAGAATGAAATAGTAGACCATCAATAAATGACAAATTCAACAGAACAGTCGATTGATTCTGCTGATAGAAGCAGTAGAAAAGGTTCAGTTGATGAGCTCAGTGACTTCTTTAAACAAGGCAACATAAAGAAGGCAGTAGAAGTTTTGCATTTCTTTGAGATGTAATATTTCACAGTCAATTTTGTCTCAATGTATTATGTTGATGGATGGATGTGATGAGGATGAATCCCTTGAGGATGCTAGATCAACTCATGAACACCTTTTTGAGATCTCATCCTCATCTTAACATCAAAATGTACAATAAGATTCTTGAAATATATGGAAGATGTTGCCTCCATGAATGATGCCTTCTTGGTGTTTCGATAAATGCCTCAACATAATTTGACTTCTTGGGACACAATGATTACATGGCTTGGTAAGATGGTCTTAGAGAAGATGCAATAGAATTGTTTGGGTAATTCAAGAAAACTAGGATGAAACCTGATGGCCAAAAGTTTGAGTGTCTTCCATGGTTGTAGTGTTGTTGGTTATATAGTTGAGGGCATGTTACACTTCGAATCAATGAGTAAGGATTATGACATTGTTCTCTCTATGGAGCCATATGTGGCAAGTACAGGATATCTTGATGAAGCTATGGAGTTCATTGATACATGCCTATACAACCAAGTATTGAAGTATGGAAACCATGATGAATCCGTGTACAATTCATGGGAATTCGGAGCTTGCTGAGATTATTGAGCTCCGAGACCTATCTTGTTTGGATGGATAGTCAAAGGCAGGTTTTTTGGCGGTGAAAGTATCAGAATAGCCAAGGAAAAAGAGAAGATATATGCATTTCTAAGGGGTTAAGAGCAGCTAACAAAGAAAGAAGGACGGTTACATACCAGAGACTAAGGCCTCATTTTATTTTTTTTGCACTTAATGGAGGCCTGAATCTTAATCTCAGATTCAACCCATTAAGTGTGTTTGGTTTTAGGTTTGAATCTGAATGATTCAGATTCAGCTCATTTAGTTCATTTGTTTCTTTTTTCAAAAAGCCTCTTAATGAACCTGAAAAGGTCTGAACTGATCAAATCTTTAAGAGAGTCTTAACATGATTTAGACTTATTTAATAAGTTATGTAATAATATTGTATCAACTCTCTTTGTCTTTGGGTGACTTTTCTCTTACAATTATAAATTTTCCTTCCCTTTCTCAATCAAACACCACTTTTTTCCCATGAACTGGTAAGTTTTCATAATCTTTACAAGTATTTATTATATTAATAATTTTCTTAGGGTGTATTGAATGTTTGTAAAGAGCAATTGTTCAATAATATTTTTAGTACATTGATGTTCATCTGGAAAAAAAATACTATTAATAATTAAAAATAATAACTATGAATACATATTTGAGGTCACTTATTAGAATTTTGTTTTAGGCCAATAATTTTATTTACTCTTTCATCATCAAACATACTTGGTAGATTTCACTAATATATTATTGTCGTTTAAATAATTAATGAGGCTCCTAATTAATTCTCCATCCCAATCTTCAGTTTCAGCTGGAAAAAAAATACTTTGGAAAGAAAAAATATTGGGACAACGTTATTGGAACAAAATAAGAATTCTTTAGTTTTTTTCTAATTAGCCAAAATATATGTTAGGTGTAGATACTGTGATACCTTATTTATTATTTCCCATCTAGTATCTATCATGAACTTTATGATATATATTGTGCTATTAAATATTTTTTACTCATGATTTTTTTATATGTTACTCTTGATGACTATGATATTTTTTTAATCAAAAAGTAACATTTTTTGTTCAAATGCAGATATTCAAATAAAGTAAAACTTTTCTAGAAAAAACTGCAATATTCTCATGGCCAATCAGTCCATAATGTTGCATCAGCAGAGACCAGAAACAACCAGTGCTTTTGCACTTCACAGTTGAAACAACTTTCACACACATGGCGATTTATAAACATTCTCTGCAGCACAAATAGGGCTAAGCACCACAGAAATTTTCATTTTACTATACCATGTGAAATTACCTAAACCATTTCTTATAGACACAGCAATGGAACATCCATTACTACTAGTAAAACAGCTAATCATCTGGATCAGCTATACTGAATGATTTATTATTTACAACATTAAATTAATATATAATGTTCCATAAAATAATCTAGGAATCAGTGATAGCAATTCACCTGCCCCCTAATCACCACATCTCACCACGCAAAAAGTTCTACAGCAACAAGAGCAAGTGGTTAGATCACACCATGAAAAGCTAAAGCACCACCTCATTGTAAGCTTAAGAGAAATATATTTCTACTAAAACCAAAAACAGTTAGTGGACAAGCAAATCAGTTTATCTGTCTTTTAATGTTCATTTCAAAGTAAATCCAAATCATGTGGCAATTCAACTCCCAGTAGTAACAAGGATATGAAAAAAAAGGGTTCAAAAAAAGAAAGATCTACAAACATCATAATAACCATAATTGATTCATCTAACAATGGAGAAGACATTTATAAGTCAAAACCTATTAGTTATTCTGTGTCTAAGAACAACGACAAGTCAGAAGAAATAGGCTGCATGGTCGTAAAATGCTCAGGAAGACAAGAACAGTAATCATCTTGCTGCTTTAAATGAATGGAGACAATTCATGGTGATTCCAGAATCACAATGAGGCCATTGAATCTTATAGGCTTCAGAACACTAAAACACACTTTCATGAGCCTACTCCCAAGATAGATAGCACTAACTTACCTTTTATGCAAGCGATCAACATTATCTTACAGATGGTCTTCTGCGAAGAAAAGTTTGAGACGCCATGAGTGTCACTTGAAGTTGCTCAGACACTGTAAATCCCCGAGCTTCCATCAATCCTTGGAACTTTTGAGCATCTTGTACAAATCCACCAGCTATAAGCGACCATATAATCCTCTCGAAATCTTCTGGTTCCAACTGCTCTTGTTTTGCCTCCAAAACTCCAAGAGCTTGAAGAGCCTTTTTCTCAACATTAGCTCTTGCATACATGTCACATAGGCTAATATAAACCTTGAATGGAGGAGCCTCACCCTGCTCAGCAATTTTATCTAAGAGTTGTTCAGCTTCATCAATTAGTTGCATTTTACTCAACCAATCCACCAAAACCGAATAAGTAGCCACCCCAGGCTCAAAGCCATCTTTCTCAAGCTCTATTAAAAGACTTAAGGCTTTATCCAGCAAGTTATTCTTATCATATGCTGCTATCATGGTAGCAGTGCATCTATCATCTGGCTTGTGTCCAAGTTTAATCATGTAATCAAAATTCTGCCTTGCCTGATCAGGGTCACCCGCTTTTCCAAATGCCTCAACAAGTAACATACATGACTCTAAAGTGGGCTGAAATCCTGAAAATTGCATTGAAGTTGCTATTCTTTGGGCTCCATTAGCATCACCGTGCTGAGAAAATGACCTTAGGAGGGCCATATAGATCTTCTTAGAGGGTTTCATGTCTCTTACCTCCATTTCCTTCATCAATGATTCACCTTTCTTCGGGTCGCCAGCATTTACATAGGCTAGGATCATGGAACTGTAAACCCCCATGTCTGGTAGAAATCCTTGACTTCTCAAGCTCTCAAATGCGGCTTTTGCTCGATCCAGATCACCTGCTTTGCTGTACATGTGAACCATGGTTGTTGATGTGAGAATATCAGGTACAATTCCATTCTCTCTCATCTTTCGGATATTTCTCTCGGCATCTTCTCGCCGGTTATCTT